GAGATCTCGGAAATTATAAGAGCAAGAGAGTTGCGTTCTACCTTGTTTAATAAGTACCTGTGGTAGAATTAAAAACTACTTTTAGGGTGGAAAGTATTTGATTCCCAATGAATATTTCAAGTGTACCTTACTTTTGGAACCAATTATAATTTTCCATGGGAAGTAAGCCAACGAACGCGGGAGAGATTTAGCCATCCAATCCCTTACCATGCCGTTTATCCTGCCCTTATGGAGTCCTCGGCTCACCGGCGACATCCGGGCGACAGGATATCATCCTTGGGACTTATGTGCTAGCAATGTGTCGCCGTTTCACGCTTCACTCGCTCCTGGCGACGACCAGACAACTTTCAATTTTAAACCGAAAACGTCTAAAAAAATGGCAAACCGAATAATAATAATTGTTGTGCGTGTGTGTGAGTGCTGTGGTCGGGGGGCTTTGTATTATCAAATTGGTTCATGGCAATTCTTGTGCGTTGTTGTGCCGCAGTTGCCGTAGTTGCAGTTGCAGTTGCAGTTGCATTTACGATTGGAGTTTAAATCAGAGACGGAGCCGCGGAGCTGCACGAGCTCGTTAGCGGAGGCTGTTGCCTCCATGGAGGCGTTGTTGGTTACTCGCGACTCGGTGACTTGGGGACGCGTTTACTCGGTTACCCGACGACTGAAGAGTGTTAGGACACAGCTGCTGCAACCAGTTCCAGCCTCAGGCCATTCTAATGTGTCCGTGTCTGCAAAGTGAGCGTTGCCACGGTGAGCACTCTATGCCGAGCGACAAGGCACAGGTCAAATTCTATTGCAAACAGAACATTTCTTATTATTTATTTATTATATTCTTTTTTGGTAGGATCAAAGCTTCAGTAGGGCAATTCTTTCAAAAACAAAATTAATTTGTATAAAACACACACAGGGTCGCAGAAATAGGGCAACGACTATCAGATACCCGTTACTCAGCTAGTGAAGGTGCGAACGAAAAATGTCGACATTTTCTGGAATATCGGTAGAAAATGGGGAAAAATAATTGAATGACAGCTTTGGGCGGGTTGTTGGCTGCGTGTGAACTTGCATGCTTAGTTTCAACTTTCCAGTTTTTTTAGATTCCTGAGATCGTGGAGTTCATACGGACAGACGCTCGGACTGACGGACATGGCCAGTTCGACTCGACTTTTGATCCTGATCAAGTATATGTATACTTTATTACATACTTCTCAACGGATCTAGTATACCCTTTTATTCTACTTGTAAATATCCCTCCCTTTTATACCCTTTACCCTCCATCGGTTAAGAAAATAATACTTTGTTTAGCAGGAACAACACACTTTTGAATACTTTAAGCTATTTGATGCCAGTTATTATGCTTTACTTTGTTGGTCCTTCCATCGTGACTTGACTGTATGCAATTTAAGTGGAGTGCATGCGTTGCATTGCTGCTGCTGCGGCTGCTATTACTGCGACTGCCCTTGGAGTCGTTTCTTGACGTGCTGCAATAAAAAACAGAAAACAGAAAAAGAAAGAAAACAAGCACACACTTTCAGAAACTCCGACACGGACACAATTAAGGCCGTTTCTGCGTGGGCGTGTGGGGATGAGGAGATCGTTAATCTGCGATCCGCCGGCGGCGAGAACGTGCCCGGCATCCAGGATGCCAATTCGGTGGCGTTCTGGCCAATCTTCTGCCTCTTAGCCTGTTGCGCTTTCAGCGCTGATCAACGCTGCGTATACGTAATATTCGAGCTTGGAGGTTTGTGCTCGTTGCTGGGTGACTTTCACTTTTTGTTTGGCTCTACTGTTGCGCCTGCAATTTGAAATTCTTGCATAAAAGCGAATGCAATAAGCGACTGAAATGCTGGCCATATAGCTGGCCAGCAGATAAGGTAAAAAGTGGCCCTGAAAGTGGGTGAACCAAGCGGCCAGAGTTGATGGATAGATAAATAAATTGGCAGTGAGCGTGCGATTCTGCGACACAGACTTGGTCTTAATTCAATATTTCAACAATTCACTTTGCATTCTCTCGGCCAGTCATAATCAAACGACATTTTTTTCAAAGCTACTAAGAACACAAACAACAAACAGCAACCAGCAACAACTAGCAACAGCTGCTGGCCAACACCCAATATGGCTAACACACACAGGCACACAAAGGCCGATTTGATTGCATTAGAGTAGAGCCACTACAGTTGGAGGAGTGCGGCCAGTGGGGGACTGTAAGTGTAACAGAAGCAGCGAACTAAGCTGGGCAAACTAAACCAGTCTTGAAAGGTGTCTTTTATATATCTGTCTGTATTAACCGGGCACTGGCCCACAGATACACACACAAAAGTAAGGCAAAACACTTTTTGGCCAGCCGAGCAAAAGTGAAGTCGTCAACAAGTTCCAGCCAGAACTTGTTGTTGGCCATCGGCTGCCTTTGGTTTTTTCCTACTTATATTTGTCTTTGCTCTTGCTGATATTGTCTTTTCTGCGGTCTTACCAAAGACAATCATACATGTATTTGCTATCACAATCAAAAGTCAGCCCATTCCGACCGAATTGCGGCAGAAGTAGGAACAATTTGGGTCCAACAAATCCAGGTTGGCAGCAGGTGGAATGCAAAAGGCGAACAGCATATTGCCCAGATAAAGTTTACAAATTATTATGGCATTTTATTTAAATTTATCTGGTTTCGCTCAGAAACAATTTACCACTGATTTGATAATTAACTTTAATTGCCAAAACATTTATTTTAATGAGAAAGTAATCTTAGTAAGTTTTTTTGTGTACCCTTTTCAAACCGATTTGCAATTTAATTAGTTTTAATTACTTTCGATATTTTGTAGTTGCCACAAATTGTAACATTTTCCATTACATTTAATTTATTTTTAATACCCATTAATCATGAAGATATTGCGGAACACTTAGTAGCTTTTTTGGTTTACTAAATTGCTTTACAGGTTTTTTGTTGGGCTCGAACTTATGCTAATCTGAAATATTATTTTCAAAATACAATCGCCTGGTCTTAAGTGCTCTCAGTTCGTCATTCTCTATGTTTTTCAATATTAATTTTTTATTTATTCTTGTTTCTGTTTTTATTGGCGTCTTTGGTATTCAGCGTCGCGGATTTCAGTGAATAAAATAGCAATTTGAACGTTTCTTGTTTTGCGTTGAGTCGTTGTGTGTGCCAGTGTGCGAGTTCGCTTCAGAGAGTAGTAAACACATTTTGAAAATCGAAAGCAAGGTCTTTTCTGCAGACAAGATTGCCGTTGTTGTTGCTCTGGTGTTGTTGCTGTTGCTGGCGTACCTTAGGCTCGGACTTTTAGTTTAGAACGTAATTTGTAAATTAATTATTGGGCATAGTCACATGTTTGGGCCACGAATTCGAGCGCTTCGCCATCGATCCTATCTAACGTACTAACCATTATATTTCGTTGTCGTGGTTTGGTTTGTTTTGTAGGGCTTTAAACTATTTTTACACGAGCCAACAAACAAACTGGATGCAGGCAATGGAAAAATGGCAAATGCATATGTTTGAGATAGCGAAACAAGAAACAGCCACTTTGGGTGGTGCTTGTAGGCCATAAGGGTGCTTTGGCACGTGTCTTTCAACCCCTCGACGTCATCGGCCACTAATTGCAATTAGCAGAGCCAAAACAGCGACGGGAGCAGCGACATTAGAAATTGCTTCTTTTTGTTTGACGTTGTCGGGAGCGGCCGTGCGATAAGCAAAGCCCCATAGTCCTGGTACTCTACGCCTAGGGCTGTATTTCGTACTCCCAATAATGCAGCTTTTGCTGATAGCTGAAGCGAAAGTAACACCAATGGCAGTTCACATCCGAAATTGTGCACGAGATTGTGCAGCATTTGTCATGCCAAGATCATTATCTGCATCAATAATATATGGTAATTTAAATGGGGCGATTGCTTTATTTTTTATTACCGTATTGTATGCGCTGGCAAAATATTCGAAACTCAGTTTAAATTCACTTGAATTCATATGTTTAGCATGCACCGAATTGCCGCTCATTAATTCTAAATTGATTTCTTAATATGATTTGTGTACAAATTTTCCATATGTGCGTTACACTGCGTATGCGTTATACATTTTGTAGAATCTGTGTTGTACCCAACAAGCAATCAATTCTTTACATTTCTTATGTTATAAAAACTCAACTTTTAAAAAAGGCAAACTTTGTAAAAGTAAAAGGAACTGAAATAAGTTTTTTTGTTGATGATAAGGCGCATTAGCAATTCTGTGTGTTTATTATAATTTTTTTTTTGTTCTGGACTAGTTTTCCGTTTATAGAACGCGTTGTTTCAATCACGTTTTGGCATTTGTTGATGGTTAAACTTGGCCATCGTTTCCGCCAAATTTTCGGCCCACATGTCGTATACATGATCTGAAGTGATTGTACGAAAATAAGCAACTAATTGAAGAGCAGAACAAACAGCCAGAGATGCGGGTATAAATAAGTTGTTTATTTCTAAAAATAAATAAAGTCGAGCAAATCGTTGACCAAACGAAGAAAGAGCAAAGGCAACAAAAAGCAATTAAATGCTCGAGCTGAAACGCCAAAAGGCATGTTTTTGGTTTTTCGTTAAGCAGCAACAAGTCGAACAATTGAAGTCGACTGCATTAAATAAGGCACTTTTGCGATAGTTTAAAATTTAATTAATTAAATTCTTTTAGGAGCTGCCAGAAAGCCGAAAAAGCTCATTTTTCTGACGTAATTGTGCCGTTAGCAGGCCACAAACAAAGCACTCAGCGCCATGTGTGTGTGTGAGTGTGTTTATTGTTGTCTTCTGATCGAAGTTTGCTCGCTTTGCCGGTTTCGAAAAATCGAAAAACAGAGAGAAAAAAGAAACGAAATAAATAAAATAACAGCATAGCAACTAGTGTCGGTGGCGCAAAATATAATTAAACTTTCGAATGGGATCAGCTCGGCCTGCAGTTTCATTTTGTTTGATTTTCACTCAATTGAGCGAGCTTTCCGCCGCCGCCAGAGCTTTTCCCACTCAACTCGAACGGTGGAATGGCCGCGTAGTCAAGTTTCATGCCAACGCCGATTGCCGTTGAAATCAGTCGTTCAACGAGAGTGACCGCGTGCGAAAGCCAGAATCAAGACAACGCACATCCTCTGTACTAGATACTGCATTAAATTCAAATAAGATAGCTGACAACTGACAAAACAAGCTACAGAAGCCAAGCCATCGTCTTGCTAAGCAGAATTCAATCGGCTCTTTATACTCTGCACATAGTACAAGCACCGACCGAGGTGTCCAAAAGGTGTCGAAAAGTCTAGAAAGAGCGAAGGAAATTCCGAAAGCCCCAGCGGAAAATTCGAGGGAACATTCTAGCAACAGGACTGTTGCTTCTCCACCACCACCCACTCAACTGCGCCCACATCGAGTGGCAGAGTCAACATATGTTCGCCTGGCTACACCCAAGCTGAACTGCCTTTGGACCATATGTTGTTAACGCTGTAACGTTGTTGTTTCGTGTGTGAACCAAATAACATATATATAGCCATAGCCATAGCCATAGCCATAGCCAAACAAGAGAAATTTCCCGAGTGCGCGTGTGTCTAGTGTGTCTAAAACATAGCAAGAAAAAAGAAGAAAAATCAAGCAAAAAGTGCAATTGAAAACGAAAACGAGGGAAAGAGCCGAGTTAATTGCCAGCAGCACAGCAGCCAACTCTCGCTAAAACCAGAACCATCTGGAGTGCTGTTATATTTTCGCCCATATATCCTGTCGCTCGTCGCATCCAGCATTCTTATGAAACCGGAAAATCGGCATGAGTCGTACAATGCAAAGGTAAATGTCAAGACCACGCCCACTCCCAGTGCACTCCACTCTACTCCAGTATAATCCATTTCTGCCCCTTCTGCCTGCCCCTTTCATGTTGCATGTAGCATATGGCGAAACTTAAATGCGCAGATATCCATCCTATCTGTATCTCTCTATTTGTATCTGTATCTGTATCGCGCCTCTGTCGCCGACGAATCTCGTTAGTGTTTTTTTATTTCGTTTTATGGCATTCGACTCTCTCAACTGTTCACTGCCGCAGTTTGGTTTTGGCTCATTAAGTTTGAAAAATTTGCAATGATTATTGTGTTGTTATTCTAGTATTGAATTTCATTGTATGAAAATAAGAAGCAGCAACAGATGTTTGAATCGAAATAGAAGAATCCACAGATGTTGATCAGAATTGTGAGTGTTTCGTTTGAGAATAACAATGCATCGTGAATTGTCACAAATCTGCTTTCCATTGATTTTGAAAATCACCTTAACGGCTTTATAAAAATAAATCAATTTTCTGATTGAAGTATTATTCAAGGCGCACTTCAAAATGTTAGTAATGTTATATTTTGCAACATTATATTATATTATTAGCAATTATTTTGAGCTTGAATCTTGTTATGAAAAAATAACACAGAACTTTACAAAAAGTTCTAACAATTCATTTCGAAATTTTTTGGGGCATATGAAGAGATAATTTACAAAACTCCTTGAGCGGACAAACTGCGTAGTGGTCAGAAATATTGTTGGCATAGAAACCCCAGGTTTCGCGTACAACATTCAAATGAATGCAATGCATATGGCTGCCGTTGGCCCGGAATTTCAAATTGGAATCGGAATTCGGAATTGGAATTCAAATTCGATTTCCAATACATAATATCTGCGCACACAGGCTTTTGGGTGATGTGTACATGGGGGCACATAGGAGGAGCACCCATACCTATGCCTATACCTATATCTATACCAAGCTGCCCATATCCAAGCCCATATCCGGGTTCACCAGCTACGTCAGTTTCGGTGGCGGCCTTAGTTTTTCAGTGGCTGCAGGTGAAACCTCACCTAGGCGACTTGGTCGACTTGGTTGACTTGGTCTTGGTCTGTTTTTCGTGTTTCTTTCGCTGGTCTGGTCTGGGCCAGCGATTCCACGTCTGGTCACGTGTAGGGTAGGCCAACAAACGCAAATTACATTTGACGTACGTAGCTACCACTGAAGCAACCCTCACTAATTACATTACATTATATATAACACTTGGCGCAATGTCTTCGTCTGTTTGCTCGGTTTGCAGTTTGTTCACGTTGTCTCACCTGAATTGGAATTTAAATTTTTCGTCTTTGTCCACATGGCCAAAGACGCATTTGATACCAGCCTCGAAGAAAGAAGTTATGTAAACAGTGGCGGGGGAAGGTAAACAGGAGGCACTTCAATACGTAGTTGAACAGAGTGGAACAAGTAGAACTTCTGTTTTTGTTGCGTGTTTAAACAGTTTGGGGTTTGTTATTATTTGAGCCTGTCCCGTGTTTGTTTGACTACGGCCACAATGTAGCCATCTAATCTCCCGGCGATGGTGATCCACTGCACTTGTTGTGCATCGGAAACAATCGAATGCTGGTTGTTGGTTCTACTTGTGCACACATGCTAATATCAGGCTCGTATTTGCCTATTGACCACGCAAGCCTCGGTTTTTCTCATGTTTTATGATTTTTTGTTTGCAGAGGTTAATAACCTGACTTTAAATTAGCCAAGCTCAGCCGCAGTCTACCTGAGTTGCTGATGTATGTGTATCTCGGCTCCGTCGTTCTCCGTTACCAAGTTTGCTGGCTTCTGACCCCATTCAGCTGCGGGCAGCTTCAATCCGAATCCGATCCGAATCAAAATCCGAATACATAATACATAATAATGCCATGCCGCTCCAGGGCAGCCCCGTGAAGTGTGTTTATCTCGAAGATATTAATTACGAGAGCCAAGCCCAGAACGTGGTTCACAGAACGTAAGCTGATTATGCCGCGCTTGTCTATTTACAATCAGATCCTCAGAAGTTTAATTATGCAACCCGGGAGCTTGGCCTTTTCCCCATTCCCTCTGTCTGTGGGGGCGTTTGATTTATCCCCCAGATACGTGATCTCTGCGCTTTTTCAGCGAGGATCTCTCCAGCTAGCCAACTGTTTCCCACCTGAGCAGGTGAGCTGTTGCCACAGCCTAATTGCAGTTTGCGTGGCCCGACTTCGTGACTTGTAAATAGCAGAAATCATGCCGAAAACAGTAAAAAGCGTTTTGGCCTAATGATGCAGATATACAAGCAAACGTGTAATAAAACTGCGTGTTGAATAATTCCTTGATTGCCGCCAAGTAGGGAAGTTTGTGGGGGTGTTGACTTCTATGACCGGGAGTACAATTCCAATTTTTCAGTAATCATGTGAAATGAAGTTCGCTTTTCTTCAAATGGATCTTGAATTTAAATTCACCGAATATTCGTAAGATGTGGTCAGCAGATCTGTGATAAAGTATCATTATCTAAACTTGTTATTTGGAAAATGAGTAAAAAACTAGTCGAATCCGAGACTTTGATAGGAAAACTGCAACCTAATCTCCCAAATTATGCAAATACAGGTCCTAATCCCCCAAATTAAACAAATTTAGTTGCTGAAACCGAGGCGTTCACATGGCCAGGTCGATTGATCCTGATCAAGAATATATATGTATACTTTATAGGGTCCGAAACGCTTTCTTCTACCTGTTACAAACTGTTAAACAACTGTTAGTAACTGGTATTAAAAAGGATATATCTTTCTACCTATCATTGTTTTTTTTAAATTCTACTTTCATGTCGATCTCCTTGTCCTACATATCGATAAAGCTGTTTGTATTTTGTAACCTATTTTCATCATTGTTCAGCCATTTGCATATCAACCCATTTTATTTATTTTGAAGAGGGGGAGGGGGAGGGGATTTATCAGTTTTCGTTTGCATTTGGCGCACGGGGTTTAACATATTTTCCATTATGCATGAGTCGCCTAATCAAAGTTGCATTGGGCAACTCCAAGACGGTAAGACAAAACCCTTTTTGAAATGCAATCAACTTTGATAAGTTGTGTTGTGCTCTAGTTAATGTTGTTGTTGCTGCTGCAGTTGTTGCTATTGTGGTTGCTACTACTACATACTATTATTGTTGTTTCTGTTGCTATTGATTGTCAACCTTCGGCGAACAACGTTGTATGCCGCACACGGCGAAGGTCGGCCACTGCGTTCGTTGTCCGTCGCATTTTCTGTTGTTGTTGTTGGTGGTGTTGTAGTGTTGTTGTTGTAGTTGTTGTTGTTGTTGTTGTTGTTGTAGTAGTTGTTGTTGTTGTACGGCGGCCTATCGGCATTTATTTCATGCACAACACCCAACCAAAACTAAAACTGAAACTGACTGAACTGAACCGATCCGATCCGAACGAGCTTTGAGCTATATGCATTTACATGCATTCGGATACCAGACGCACATATGCCTATGGCTACATATCTTTGACTTTGATTATATATAGATTGGCCCGAGTGTGCGCTAGTGCGATTGCGAAATTTTCACTGTTCTAATTAAAAATTGATACGTTCAAGTTAAGGACAGAGCAGACGCAGCTAATTGAATTAAGGCGAGAATGCTCGTGTACAAATGAATTGGATAGGTACGAGTATCTGTATCTGCCTACTGCTTAGCACACCTCTGCTCACCTGTAAAGCTTTTGGATATTTTAGGGCCCGAAATTATTGAAAGTAACCGCGGTGAATGGGTGTAAACTGCATATGCTATCCACGTTGCCATAGTTTCTCACTTCGAGTGCTTCGCTTTGTGGGCTTTAAACAATGGCAAACAAGGTAAACACGAGCAACTTTCAGCTGTTTAAATAGCATGCGAGAGCCCAAATTAAATATGAAGAAAAGAAATTGGGTATAGTTCGGATACAAATACAAATATAAATATAGATACAGATCGACTGGCCTGGCCGTATGTAGAGCACAAATGCTGTCCTAGATTGGGCGAAAGAATGCGACAATTCTGGTTTGGGGTACAGTGATGGGTCCACAAGTGCGGCTGAAATCTTCACATTACGATGGGTTACTCTTGCTGCGGTGTTCACTCTATGGGCCAAATTAATTGAACGAAATGGTGCGCCTTGGCAGAATCCCATTTGAATGTGGTTTCTTGCTCTTGTTCATTCTCATTTGACTGCCAAGCGCCGTCGAATTTCCCCCTCTTGTATTTTAAAAAAATAGAAAAATACATTTTTCTATTTTCTGCACCGTTTTAGGGGCGACACGTTTATCTGTCGCATGCATAATACATTTATTCTCTGTATTGACCTTTTCACATATTTCTTTTGCTTGCAGGTAAGCTTCCAACTCCAATCTAACTTTGCTATCTGCCCTGCAGCCTCTGTATTGTGTAAGTATCGACTGCTTTTCCAATAGGTTCACTGACCAGAGGAAGGTACCGAAAAACATTTCTGTTTGACCACACAGAGAAACCAAAGAAAGGCGCGTTTGCACAAGATCCAAACAAAAAGTAAAAATGGCTAGCAAGATTTCACTTTCGCGCTTTAAACGGCAATCGCAGCCAGTCGCAGATACTTTGTTGCACTCGCAATGCCAGTTGCACTTGTTGCATTTGTTGCAGTTGCACTTGCTGTGGCAATGGCCATTGCAGTTGCACATAGAAGTTCCACCAGCCGCAAAAGCGAAGATGAAATTTCTGTTTGCTGTGGCTTTGGTTGCAGTTTCATCAGTGCGCCTCCTCTGCGGCTTTCACACAAAGAGGCGACTCTAAATGAACAAGTTGCGGTCTATTTGGGAGATTTTAACTGCATTACGTTTTATTGCATTTGCATAAGTGGCTGCTGCCCCAAGTGGAATAGGTTTCAAGAGCTTTCCTGCAATTAAACTTACATTTAAGCTTCAGTGCTATTAATCCTGGTTTTATAAATTGAGAACAAACTGGAAACCCATTTCTTTTTGGGTGACCAAGAAGTGTGCATCCTTC